AGGACCTGTTGGGAAGCATGGAGGGCTGTAATTAGTTGCACTTTAGCAGCAGTGACTGAAAGACACAATTATGTTTCTCTACTGGAGAAAAGGCTAAAGGAGATGTCTCAAGACCAGCTATCGCATTATTTTGTCACTAGCAGAGGCACTGATTTGACTCTGCTCCCCAGCACTCGCACTTTTCTCTCTCTCTTCAGACCAGCCTCAGTATTTACCACAACCAGATGAACCAAATTCTGGGGTTCCCTTTTTGCAGAATGATGTTCTGCAGAAGACCCTTCCCAGGTTAGAATTGGTTTGAAATGGGTTTTCATTTCTTTAATAGGCTCCCGTGGGCAGGAAGAGGAGACACGACCCTGCACCGGCGGATGCAGCCCAGCCCCTCGCTGGCCCCGGCCCCAGCACCCCAGGGGGGCACAGGCAGGATGGGCTGTCCCCACCACTGCCCATGCTGGGCATCCACAGCTTCTTCCTGGAGAACCCCGAGCTGGGCACGGCCCTCGGTGCTGGCAGTGAGACGAGCTGGGTCCTGGCCAGATGCAGGGCACGTGGCATTCCCTTTGGCATTGGGCACCTCCCACGCCTGCTCGTTTTCTGCTCCCGAGGAAATGCCACATCCTCCTCACTGGACTTTCTCCACTTTCCAGAGCCTTAAGGACTCTTTGTTTCCCTCTCAACCTGCATCCCTTTGGGATACATCCCTGTTCACAGCAGGGCAGCCACAGGTCTCGGGGTCACTGTTCCCCACAAGCTTCCTCAGCCATGTGGAAGAGGCTTTGTTTGGTTCAGTTTGAGGGATCCAGCTTTGGGCTTGAGCTTTAAATGGTTTCACTACTGGGTGTTGGAGAGGTTTGAAAAGGTGAATCCCCTGCCTCTGTCCAGACAGCCAGTTGGTCACCCGTGTGGAGAGGGGCAGGCAGATGGAGACACACAGGCAGTCTTTGCTTCGCCTTTAAAGGCAAAATGGAGGCTTAAGAACTAAGGTAAAGTTAAAAGAAGTAGCTGAAGGAGAAATGTCTCTGGTGCAGGGATGGCTGGGGATGTCTGCTGAACTGCCGAACCATGTGCCACTGGGGTTTTATGGTGGTGACCAGAGCAAGGATTTCATGGAGCTTCACCACGTGGGGTCAAGCTTTCTTCAGGCAAAGCAGACGAGACCAGGGAGAGGAGGGTGCTTGGAAGCAAGTTCCTGTGAAACCTCCAACGGTGGAGGCACAGCACAGGCTCAGGGCTAGCACTTCAGAAGATGCCACCTTATTTTTCTTGGTTCTTTTGGCCACCAGACCACTCTTAAACCAGGCATTGAAACCCGAGTGTGTCTCATATGAGCCAAGTTTAAGCTAGAAACTAGAAGTTTTTTCCTTCCAGCCCAACTGACTGGAAATATTATGATGATTGTTTATCTTTTGTGGTCTGTGAGACCACAAGAATATTTTTTTTCTCCTCTGATATATTGAGATATATATTCCCAGCTGCAGCCAAAGCAGGTAGAAATGTGAAAAAATAAACAGAAATCTCAGCTCAGAAACTTTTGGAAGTTAAAAATCTATACATCTTTCTCCACACAAAATGAATACGTTTTAAATGGTTTATTTAAAAAGTAAGGATTAAGTACATTTTACATGGTTGTGATTATACCAGTAGAACTGAAGCACAGTGGAAATAACACTTTAGATCTGCAGACAGAAATGCAGCCTCAAGGGACATGATATATTAGCCCTTGTGGATATGTGATCCATACAGAAAGAAAAGGAAATATAAAAATAGTTTATTGTTAGAAGTATGGGCATATGAAATGATTTATCCTTTTACTCCTATTGTGTAGGAGGAACTAGGAGGAGAGAGCTGACTATGTACCTGAAACTTTGTTTCTTGGAAAATCAAATCTGATTCAGTATAATCTTTCTTTTTAGGTCTGCTAATTTAGTATGATATAGGATAATACCAAAAGACTGATTAATGATGTGATGAGGATATCTGCAGGCCTTGCTGAGAAATGGGGGCTAATTTGTGTTTGATGCTTTCCAGGGAAACCAGAAAGATGTGGAAGAACAGATGAGGGTTGGGGATTTTTTTTGGTTGGTTTGGTTGGTTGGTTGGTTGGTTTTTTTAACTCTCACTGAGTGGTTTCAGAGCACAATCTAATGCTGTTCAGATAGAGCAGCCATGGAACAAGACAAT